AAAGAGGGAGACAAAACAGGAGTTGGCTCATTATGATTTCCTTTGTGTCCAAGTCATCCTGTCACATCACAATACAGTACTTGGTTTCAGTTTTTGAGTATGAACCTAGGACAAGTCTGCTAAGCTGGCTATGAAAAATGAAGGGCTTTTTAAGTTAGGTGGTCGTACTGGTTAGGGAAGGCATCCTAAAGAATGATCACTATTAACTTTATTTCTAGCTTCTGTTTAACTCCCAGCATCACTAGTGAAGTGAGCTCTTCCCCACAACAGATGCTTCTTCAGGGAAGTCCAAAGCCTCTCCTGGGTTCCAGTCACAAGGTCCCTGGCACAACACAGCATAACTCTGCTTCAGGATGGCTAAATGTCTAAAAGCCCCGTTTAGGTCAGGGCTGTCCAACTGCTGGGCAGTTGGGGGCCGCATGAAATGTGGGTTAGATCCAGGGGGCACTTGCTAGGGGGACTGCCCCCCAAAAGACTTTCCACTGCATGCACAACCCAGTTCCCCGCTACTGTGCATGCAGGTCAGCTAACCTATCTCATGCTCAGTCCAGCTTCCCCTACCACGTGCACAGTTCCTTTACCACATGCATGGTGCAGGCAGCCCATCCTGCAGCACAGGTGGCCTGGCTTCCCTCTACCATGCACGCAGCATTCCCTTCCCCACTGTGCATGCTGTGTAGATAGCCCACCCACCTGCAGCATGCAACACAGGCAGCCTGGCTCTCTCCTTGTGCAGCCCAGCACCCTCCCCTGCTGCATGTGCAGGATGGGCAGCCCAGCCTCCCCTATTGCACCCTAGGAAGGGGGAACCCAGAGACCCCAGCCATCACCGGAGTAAGAGCAAAGAAGCTGAGCAGGAGCTCACATGCGGCATGTTAACCCCTCACAGGCCACACAAAAGCTATTCCAAACCACATGCCTGGTGACATGCACAGATGACTTGCTGCCTGAAGGCTCTATGTACTCAGACAATCACTCAGAGGCACAGTACAAAGGAAAATGCTTACATGACTAACAGCAACCATGAGTCAAGTTCCTTAGGAGTCCAGAAGTTTGGTTCAAAACTGCTGCTAACATATATGGGGGGGGGAATCACAAACTCAGAGAGGAAAGAGTCACTTTGGTGATCAAGAGCACATGCAAGTGATCTGGCTGCTGGTCTGCCCAATAACCATGAGTGCTGCATGCTGCCCATTAACACTGGTTCATGAGCAGAGACTGGTTCATTTCTTTCCTGCTCACATTTACTAGCATAGTCTTGCAGTGCTAGGATTGCCGATACAACAGTTCCCTCCGGTGGTTTCACCTCCTCAAACACTGGGGAGACCCTGGTCCCACTGAAAGTCAGTGGCAAAGCTTGGGAAAGCCAAGATCTCCCCAGTCTTTCCCTTTAAAGCCCTTCACTATTTAGCTCCACGGTGCCCTGCTCATTCTGTACCTCATGTCCAACTTCAGCATGCCCAGCATAAACGTCTTTATGTTTCCTCATACATGCCTGACACTTGTATATGCTCCATAGCTGCATTCATGCTTCCATGTGTATGATGTCTACAGAGCATGACTGGCAGGGGAGGGAACAGCTCACACTGATCTCACTAATACCCCATTCCTGCCACTCTCATCTCAGCTGACCCCAAAAAGTGGCTCCATCTATCATCATATGTTCTTGCTCATGTGCATGCCACTTTAGCCCTTTTCCCATCTGTGAGCAGCACAATCCTTAGCTGTGTTGCTCTGTGGTTGTAGCTCTCTGGGTGCAACTCAAGGGGGCTTTAGCAGGGCTCCCCTCTGGCCCTATAGTTCTGTCCTTATCAGAATTACAAAGCAATGTGGGATGGGGGAAGGCCCATGGGAGCCTCTTTCAAGGGGGTTGGTTTCCATGAGGTTCCAATCACTTATCCTCTGAAAATTAGGTCCCTCTGGGCTGCCCATGTGTTGAGGTACCTCCAGTCATTGGAATCCCCTCCCCCCGTGCCCACTGCCCCTCCGTGACCAGTGGCATATGTACAGGAAAGCAACCTGGGTACCAGCCCGGAGCATGAACGAGGAAAGGAGAATACAGAAAAAGCAGCCCCCGTACTGCTGGCCTGGCCTCTCCATGAGCAACCCAGCTGAAGCTGCCACCCCCCTGCCCTACTGCAGAACCACACAGCTGTGCCTCTGCTCCATGTTAGTCTGCACTGGATTGTTCTGTGGAGTGCAGGTTTCACAGGAGGCAAAAACTGAAATTACTTCCCCCTCTGGCCACACATGTCAGAGTGAGCTACACAGCTAGGAAGCTTTGGTGCAGGACTAAGGATTGACAAGCCTCAAATGCTAGTCCTGCCTGTAACACAGCCGGGTGGGGGGGGAAGAAATAAAGAAAACTAACCAGAAAGGACTTGCTTAAAGAGTCATTTCTTTAACTTTAGACCTCAGGGTTCAAGTTTGATAGAAACTAAGTACTCATTCCCACCAAGAACAACAGGGACTCCCCCCTCCCCCCCAGGAGCCCAACTCAGAACAACGGGAGCTGCTAGATGCTCGGCAGTGCTATGCTGGCTAGAACTACAGAAGAAAGAGACTTGGGGGTCATCACTGACCACAAGATGAACATAAGCCTGCAATGCGATGCTGCGACTAGTAAAGCAAGCAAAACGCTGGCTTGCATTCATAGATGCTTCTCAAGCAAATCCTGGGATGTCATTCTCCCCTTGTACTCAGCCTTGGTGAGGCCACAGCTGGAGTACTGCATCCAGTTTTGGGCCCCACAATTCAAAATGGATGTGGAGAAGCTTGAGAGAGTGCAGAGGAGAGCCACGCGCATGATCAGAGGTCAGGAAAACAGACCTTATGATGAGAGGCTGAGAGCTATGGGGCTCTTTAGCCTGGAACAGCGCAGACTCAGGGGTGACCACCAGTATCTGGGGGAACGGTTGTTCACTAGAGCGCCCCAAGGGATGACTAGGTCGAATGGTTATAAACTATTGCAAGACTGTTTCAGGCTGGATATAAGGAAGAATTTCTTTACTGTCCGAGCCCCCAAGGTCTGGAACAGCCTGCCATCGGAGGTAGTTCAAGCACCGACATTGAACACCTTCAAGAAAAAACTGAATGCTTATCTTGCTGGGTTCCTATGACCCCAGCTGACTTCCTGCCTTCGGCTGGGGGGCTGGACTCGATCTTCTGAGGTCCCTTCCAGGCCTAATGTTTATGAATCTATGCACCTTGGAAATTTAGCCTAGAGGATTTAAAATTGGATGCCTATAAATACTTCAGCATTAACCTTGCTGCCTCCATTTCCCCATCCATAAAAATAGACTTTTAAAATAACTACTTCTTTAGCCCTTTGTGAGGATTAATCAGCAGGCTTTCAATGAAAATGCTAGTCCTCACCACCATTTTGCAGGTGGATTAGAAAACAAACTGTCAGAACAGCCAGCGTGTGTAGGGGAAGGGGGTTTTTTTTGTTTGTTCTTTTACTTAGACTGTAGCTCACGTTAACGTTCAGGGTCTCATCTTCTTAAAGGTAATGAAATGCCCTGTTCCCTTCTGGTTATTTTAACAGCATCCCTTGACTCTGTGCCTCACAACATACCAGGCAGTTCTGGTTGGCTGCTGAGACTCTGCCATTACACTTAATTTGCAAGGTACCAGGCTGTCCTAAAGCCCAGTAAAATGCAGACCTGGGATCTTTATCATTAGTAAGGAGGTAGAATTGCAGACGACTACAGGCCCCAGCATGCAAACCTCCATCTCAAACCAGGCTGGAGGCCATTGGGCTGTTTGGCTCAGATCGAGATAGGGTGTTACCTGCTAGTGTTGCACAAACGGCTAGTTTCGTGCCCCTGGAGGCTTTTCCAATATACCTCAAGGAGAGAGTCACACACACTCAGGCTGGATCCATCTCAAGTTTATTTGTTTGCAAACAGATCAACAAGGGAGTTCAATGCTCAAAGCCGAGTCGACCCCTAGCCACGCCCGAAGTTACATTTTTATACCTCTCATGAACAAGATTCCATTGTGGCAATCTGTGATTTGCTACAGTTTTCTGCAAAGTTTAGTACATGTGTAGTCCTAAAACGAGCAAGTAACAAGGGTTGCAAAATTTATGTGCAAAGCAGGCAGTAACTAATCTTTGTGTTCTCACAGGAATCAGCCTTATCGCAAACCGAACATTTGTTCGGACTGTTCCTTATTATGCTACTGATTATCTAATGCAGGAAGAAAGAAGAGAAAAAGAAACAATTTGCAGTTCTCAGCTGTGAGGTCTTTTGTGTAGTGAGATCATGAGACATTTTTGCCACAAT